CATATTAGAAAATAAAGCATTTCTTGTCATATCATGCCATTATAGTACACTTAACAAAGACAAAACAATTCACATTCTAACGTGGGTCGCATAATGGCGTTAAACCTTTGTATTCATGTCATAGGCATACGTAACACAACAGAATAATTTTAGATTCACATAGATACCATTGCTCAAGGATGAACATAAGTTCTATCGATTCTTTAAGAAGTAACGTAGTATGCTAATAAATAATAGAGGGTTAATATTCATTATGGGCAGAACAGAATGATTCCCAAGTCATGCCGATGTACGCAAATCTTTCAGTGTTCACATTGATTTCCAATCGTCATAAATGTTCGTGTAACACTTACAAGGAATAGAGCGTTAGTAACAATAATTATCAATGGTAAATAAAATATACATTTCCGTACTATTACTCACAGTGGTAGGTCTCTGAAGCGGTGGAACGATGTCCTCGTCTTGTCCTACAAACATAATGCAAATAACAGAATATGAGAATAAAACCAATCTCTTTCTTATTCTTTAATCAATAGCCATGGTGGTTCTAGACTCATTAGTCCTCCATAGGTTATAATCCATGCCTCAAGATAAGAGGAAGCGATAGGAGAAAGGTTCAGACGAAGAAACGGTACAAAACTGGTAGACAGAAAGTGAGCACCTCTCACTAATTTGGGCATAACTATTTCTGTATTTAGAATTTGGGAGTGAGACCACCACCATTGGAAACTAGACTTTTGGGGCTTCATTTTAAGCTCAAGAATCACTCAAAACGGAGTCCGGATGCAAAAGATACGCTTGTTCAAAGTTGGCTGAACAGAGCTATCTCCCCGCACGTGCAGGAAACAGGGCCGCACGTGCGGGAATGGGGCCGCACGTGCCGGAGAACGTGCTTTTTTTAGCAGATTCAATTTTGGTTTTGGTACTGTAGCGCCGCACGTGCGGCTCTGGGTAGTTTGGAGTCCGAAAATGGCTCTTTTTGTTCCAACACTTGGTTCTTCCATTCTTAAGCTTAGTTTCTAATATAAATCACTTAAAAACATGTAAAATTGCCCCATAACATGATAATTTAACATTAACCAAATTTATTTTCTTTTCAAACAAATCAATCTTTGCTTCAAGGTTCAAGATTCATGCTTAATCTTTCATAATCTTCAAGGGTCTTAGAACACAACCCACAACCCACAACCCACAAATTCACTTAATTTTTGCTTGATTTTTATTCTTTGGACAACTCTAAAGTGCATTTCATATGGTATTCATAAGATTGAGCCCCAATCATAAACAAACCATAGAACCCAAGGTCTCATTCCTTAAATTGAATTCAATTAAATACATGCTTAGAACATTAACTTAAATGGTCTCAAATCATTCCATATCATTATGATTTCATGAAATTAATGTCTTAAACACAAGGATTCAAGATATTATCATACCTTAGTTCAATCTTGGTCTTCCTCTCAATTCTCCTCCATTTCCTCAAGTCTCCATGGTTGATTCCCCTTCTCTTTCTACAATTCCCTTTAATCATCTCCAAACCCCCATGATTGTTGAGTTGTTTTTTTCTTCAAGAACCTTGGAGGCCGTTTCGATAGATGTTGGGCCTGAGGCCGTTTCGATAAATGTTGGGCCCTAGGCCATTCTATAATATCAGTAGTCCCGAGGTCGTTCTGTAATTATGATCATGAAAAAGTTACGAATTTATGATGTTATACTTACTTTGATAATGGGTTCATTCATTTAAACCTCTTTACTGTATTATTACTTATTGAGCTTCGCTCACTCTATATTATGTATGTATATGTAGGTGATCAGCATATTGATGACAAGTATAGAGCCCAACCTTAAAGTCTGCTTCGGAATTGTTTCTGTGAACCTGATCGGTCGAGTCTCCAAGATGGAGCATTTGTCTTTTGACTCATATCATGTTATGACTTTTATGATGGTTTTGGATATGTAAATTATAAGTGTGGAGTTTTCTATTGTACATACGTTTTGCATAGATATGTAGATATGTGAATGTGTTAACATGGTTTTAAAAACCAAACTGGACCGGACCGGCCGGTTCAATCGGTTGAACTGCCGACCGGTCAGGGTTTCGGTCCGGATACATCCACTGAACCGGTCATAGTGGAAAACCGGCCTATTTTGAAAGAATCGGGAAAACCGATGGTCGAATCGCCGAACCGGTCGACCCGGTTTCGGTTCACCGGGTTGATAGAACAAATTCTTTGTGTTTTTTTTCTTTTTTTGTTCTTTCTTTCCTTTCTTTCTTTCTTATTATATATATATATATAATATATATATATATAATAAAAATTTAATTGGAAACTCTCTTTCAAGGGTCTCCTCTTGTGAGGAATCCCATTGAGAGCTTGAAATTATTGTGAAAGTCTCTATCTATTTAAAAGAAAAAAAAAATTTCAAAAAAACTCAAGAAATCTATGTGGGATTCAATCAAATTTATTGGAGGGAAACTTAAAATATTGATATCCCTCCAAAATTTTTGATCTTCTTTCAATCAAATTATTTGAATTAAAATCATATGGAGGGAATATTGAATATTTGATTTCTTCTTCCAAAATTAAAATTAATAATATTTTTAAATATATTTTTATATTTTTTAATAAAAAAAAGTATTAAGAGAAATATTTAAGATTATTAAAATTTTTAATTTTATTACTTATATTTTTATTTAAATATAATTTTAATATATTTATGACGTCACGGTTCGATTTCGGTTGAACCCCACGGTTGAACCAATGACCTGTCCACCCGATCATTTTTTCGGTTCACTCACCAGTCCGGTTTTTAAAACATTATGTGTCAAGATAAAAGTAAAGTATATTTTTTATCATATTGGCACGGCTCAATGGACTTTCATCATTGTTATATGCTTCCGCTTGTTGCCCTATTATTATAATTATTATGTATTTTTGTATGAGGTCATAGGTAATCAAATGATTACTAGCTGGTTATGATCTAAACCTCTAGGGGCAGGTTTGGGTCATGACAGATATGATCAATTCTGTTATGTATATCTGTTATACATTGGACCCGAGGTCGTTCTGCTATCTGCTGGACTCAAGGTTGTTCCGTTATGAATTGCTACGACATAAAAATGCCTATGCTACTTAATAAAACTCATTCATATAACCCATTTACTTTGATGTTATTCATTGGGCTTTCGCTCACTCCGTTGTTAAAGGATTACTAAGTTTTGTAGAGTCAGCTAAGGATGCCTCATGCACAAGACTTTTGTCTTTTATTTTGTTTTTATTGGACATGCTTGACTATCTTTTGTTTATAAGAAGTTTAAGTTTTGTAAGAACATGAATAATACTTTCTTGTTTAAGTCTTTGTGCCTCTAGTCTAAAATGAATGTTTAAATAAGGTGTGTTGTCTGACTGTAAGTTATTAACGTATAAGATGTTTTTGTTTATGCCATATATGCACAACTCATTGAACAAAACTTTATTATTCAGCTTCCGCTTCTGGCCCCATATAATTAAATATGATTAATTCCTGTCTGAGGTCGTAAGTAATATCATGATTACTGTCCGATTATGATCCAAATCTTTAGGGACGAGTTTGGGTCATGACATAGCTACTTTCCAAACCCCCCGATATCATTCTTGGATGCTTTGGAGTTTAGTACTAAATGACTCTTTGGCACAACAAGTTCTCTTTCTCTTTTTCTTTCCTTCAACTTATGAGTTGCTTATAAATTTTCTATTTTTAGTTTTATGTCAGATTGTTTGGCACAACTTCTATTTATAATTTATTTGATAGAAATAAGTTAAATAAGTTGAAAAAAATTTAGGCTTGAAGATAAAAATGTCTCAAGTTCGAGTTACTCTAAGAGGTCACTAGAAGTTTGCCCAGTTATTAAATTCAGGACTCCAAGATTAGTCGAAGTGCATACAAATTGGCTAGGACATTCTATTATAAAAAATAAAAATAAAAAAAAAACCTTATGGGGCCCATGTGGGTCTCATGTGATATGGGTCCCATATTTTGTGATTAGTCAGAGCGTATAAAAATTGATACAGACACTTGATTATTAAAAAAATAAAACTTATGGGACCCATGCGGGTCTGATGTAATGTGAGTCTCACATTCATGTTAGTATTATGTAAAATATTAGGTTATTTATATGAAGATTTGTTAAATTATTGAAAATTATTATTTTAATCCCTTAAATTATAAAAGTGTACGAATGAATCCCATAAACTATTAATAAATATTTTTTACCTCCTAAATATAAAAACGTATAAATAGATTTCAAATTATTAGCGTGTTTTACTTTGATTTTACAGTGTTTGATAATTTTGACATTTTTGCACAAGAAAAATATTTGAAACCTTCAAAAAAAAAAAAAAACTCTCTAATTTATTTTTTTCCAAACGTAACATTCTAATATAACACTCAAAAAATGTAGCACTCTAATGTAACAGACTAAAATATTATTTAGTGTACGTTTTCTAAACGTTTATAATAATATATCATGAAAAATCTCAACTTTTTATTTGTTAGTTACTTATAATAATATATCAAGATAAGTCTCAACTTTTTATTTGTTAGTTACCCAACAATTAAAGGTTTCATTTGTATTTTTTTGTCACACAATTATAGATGAATTTATGGATATAGGCTTATTTTCTGCGTTTGCTACGTCACCCGTCAAGGTGGCACGTTTTTATTGGCTTTAAAAAAAAACCCCTTGCCCCACTTGAGAAAATGACTTCCCAGTACCCAAAAATTCATCATTGTCCAATCACAGCTCAAATCCAACGGCCCATAAATGAAAGATCAGACAAAACCACAGAGTATGGGGATCGGACAATGTAAAATATGCCACGTGTAAAAGTAAAGAGGATTGAAAGTGTGTGAGTGAGCACACCGAAAGTCTTCCCCGGTAAAAAGAAATAAGAGACGAAGACCCAGCTCTCTCTCTCTCTCTCTCTCTACATTCCAATGATATATTGAGACATTCATTAATTTCATTCATTGTTGTTCTTTCTTTCTTTTCTTCGTCTTCTCTGGCTACTCTCTTTCTCTCTCATCAAAGTTGGTCTCAACAGAGGAGGGTGGGGGGGCCACATCAGCGCATTCATTTCGATTTCCGCTAATCGATCTCGCTCAATCGTTTGGTCATCGGAATCGCACAGTCAAGCCTTTCGGATCGAGGTACTTTTCGCTTTAATCCGCCAATTAGGCTTCGATCACTAAATTTCTCGCATCTTTTAGGGGTTTTCATGTTCTACACAGGTTTATCTATGTGATTCTTTGGAATTCTGTGCTTTTATTCGAGAGAATCTGATGTACTAGTTGATTTTTCTTGTTTTTATGCTCGAAGGGATCGTTGTTTTTGCTATTCGAGGTTCACGTTTCCAATTTTCGGTTAGGGTTTTGTTGGTTGGGGTTTAGTTGTGAGAACTAATCGTGAAATGGTGTACTATTAGTCTGATTATACCCGAGATAACTTTGCATGTCAGGGAGGAAATTAGAATTTTGGGTTTTTGGTTTTTTGTTAATCGATTTTCTGGGTATATGAAATTAACCCTGTATATGTTTATGTTTATTTTGATTTCATGTAAATGACTTTTTACTGTCAATAAATAAATATGATCGTTGAGACAAATGGGAAATGGAAATTTTGTACCGTATTTTTATGTTGCTTTAAATTAGGGTATACTCTCTATCTTGATTATCCAAAATTATTTTTTCCTGAACTGAGCCAGGAAGCTTTGCCACTTTCACTTGAGTGCAATTTTTGTTTTCTCCTGTTCCAAATAATGAAAATGATTTTCATGGACCTGAGAATTAACTTACTCTTAATCTCCCATATATGCTTTCACGTAGACCAAAAACAGCATCAAAATAGCTTTATGGTTTATTAGAAGTTTTGATTTTAGGACTTTTGATGCCTTTGCTTGATCAAGGGTTTTTTTGTGATCATTAGGTCAATAATGGATTATTATTTCATGCACTTCTTTCATAAGTCTTTCAAATAGGATAATTAGTTTTTTGGGATGATTTAGTTGTAGGGTTTTGGTAAGAGGAGTTTGAGCTTGGAAATGTTGATGCTGAAGAAATAAAGAAACTTTGAAGGTTTGCGCTACTCATCCAGAGAAAATGTTGGAGGCACCAAAATTTACTGGAATTAGAAACCATGATAATTATGATTTGTCTCAAGGGTTTTACCATAAGCTTGAGGAGGGTTCAAACATGTCAATTGACAGTTTTGGGAGCCTGCAGATGAGCAATGGAGGGTCCATTACGATGTCCGTTGACGACAGTAGTGTTGGATCAAATGGTTCCCGCACTCACATCTTAAGTCACCCAGGGTTGAAGCGTGTGAAGAACAACTACTCTGTTGTCCAGAGCGTTAATCGAGGAAAAGTCTCACATGGTCTGAGTGATGATGCACTGGCTCAAGCTCTAATGGACCCTCGTGTTCCTACGCAGGGGCTGGAAAATTTTGATGAATGGACAATTGATTTGAGAAAGCTTCATATGGGGCCGGCTTTTGCTCAGGGGGCTTTTGGAAAACTCTATAAAGGTACTTACAATGGTGAGGATGTTGCTATAAAGCTTTTGGAGAGGCCAGAGAATGACTTAGAAAGGGCACAATTGATGGAGCAACAGTTTCAGCAAGAAGTCATGATGCTGGCCACATTAAAGCATCCGAACATTGTTCGTTTTATTGGTGGATGTCGTAAACCAATGGTATGGTGCATTGTTACAGAATATGCCAAAGGGGGTTCAGTTCGGCAGTTTTTGGCAAAGCGGCAAAACCGATCTGTGCCTTTGAAATTGGCAGTCAAGCAGGCTTTGGATGTTGCTAGGGGCATGGAGTATGTGCATGGGCTTGGTTTGATCCACCGGGATTTGAAGTCTGACAATCTTTTGATTTCTGCAGACAAATCTATTAAGATTGCAGATTTTGGAGTTGCTCGTATTGAGGTGCAGACTGAAGGAATGACACCTGAGACCGGAACATATCGCTGGATGGCTCCGTAAGCCTCTTGATTCTTTTGCACCAAAATTCTTGTTCTTCTGTCTCTTATTGTACATTATTACTATTATACTGGATTATCTTTTTTGTGATGGACAACTTATTCATCTAATTGTTTAAGTAATTTTTTAATGGTTGTCATGTTTGTGCAAGACCTTATATATGTTTTACCATACCAGTTATGCATTTTCATGTAACTCCATTATGTACCTTCTTATACTCTGCCATATAGTACTTTAACCATAAAAGTTGCATAGATTGTTCTTGTTGTTTCATTATGTCATTCATTTTAGTTTTAACACCTTATTTCAGATGGAAATATATATAATATATATACATAAATGTTTTTGATTGATGTCAGAAATCTTGGCAGTGTTTGGTTTACATTTTAAATTAACTTTTGGATTGAAAAATCCAAAAACATGTTTGGTTTACAATATTTCAAAATTGTTTCTCTCTCTCTTTCTCTCTCCCCTCTCTCTCTCTCCTCTCTCTTCTCTCATTCTCTTACATTCTACACATTAGTCAATCAATTTTCTCTCACATCCATCTATTCAATTAAAAATAAAAAAAAAATCATCCCAAAACTATTTTCAAAATATATAACCAAACAAGTTCTCAAATTTTGCAAACTCTTTTCGAAAACTATCTTTAAAATTGATTTTCAAAACTAAACCAAACGGAGCCCTTATTTCTTGTTGCTTTGCCTGCCATGCTTATGCTTCCTTCTGGTAGGTTTTTGGTTGTATACTTTCCAATTAACCTATGGAATTTGTCTTTGAACTTGGTGATAAGTGACATGGAGAGCGTATTAATATCTCCCTGTGATGAAGAAATTTCTTAACAGTATTATTCCGAGACACATCCAAGGGATTAAGTATTGTGCGAAAGAAAGAACTTTCATTTAGTTTATCTCTGTCGAGATCTTTTTATTCATCCAAAAATTGAACCCTTTTTTATTATTATTATTATTTTTATGTTGTTCCATTTGTTTAGTGATATATTTGTGACAATCCTGCTAGCTTCTTCTGGTATAATTATGTAAATAGATCTATTTGTTGCAATAGAATGAAGGAGAATTTTCTTTGCTCATTTTGAAATTGAATAAATTGTTCTGACATCTTCATCAGAGAGAGTTGGTTGTCTGTGATATATCAGATTTTTAGAACATGCTAGTAGCATGGCCACTTGATTATGCAATCACTTAAGCAGATTGTATGGGAATCCCAGATATTCGAAGGTTTGGTTGCAATTTCTTTTACATGGAAGTTCTGTGGTTTAGAGGAATTGGCATTTGAGTGTCTTTCCCTCCTCCCACTTTATCTCTCAAGGGCAAAAGATGGAAGTTTTGAGCTTGCCTGCATTGATGTCTTTCGTTTCTGTTATTTTTTATCGTAAAAATTCTTTTGGGTCGTTGTCTTCGGCAAGTGTAATTTTTGGAAACTGCACAGTTCCTATGATTGTCTGCCTTTATGTACTTGCATGTCAAGTAAGAATTTTGATAATTTTTTATGCTATTACTGGTGAAGCTAATTCTCTTGGGTATAGGCAGGTGTAGAGATATGCCAGAGTACATATTTTTTGGTCAATGCTTATGAAAGTAAAGGCTCTGAAAATCTGCTCATCTCATGAATTAAATATGGGATGTGGATTCATTTTCGAATTTTTTTCTACGATTCATAGATTGGGTAACTTCGAAGCTTATTAAGAAGTGACGAGGTGAGTTATTTAAGGGAGACTAATACCTACCTAGAGGTTGTTTATTGGGGAAATTTTTGTCTATTTACATTTTGTTCAGAAGGTTTGAGTGGATGTGGCTTTTTTGTCGCTTCTCTTGCTTTTCTATTCCTTATCCCTATTAATTTTTATTTAATTGAGGTTGTCTTTACCTGTATTATATCTCCCTTTATACATGTAATATGTTACTTTGGGATGAGAAATTTAGTACAGCTACTATCTTTGGGTCAAGTAGATTGCTGGGCACATGGTCACTTCCTGTGGTTCATGCTTTAGGCCCTTCCATCAAACTAGAATGTCCCAGCTCTCAACCCCTATTAAAACAATTAGAATACCCAACCCAAAATGTGTGTACGCAAATGCATGAGTGTATTATACCTATAAGATCACAAACTCCAGAGGGCTACTAAGTGTGATGACTACCAACTTCAGAATATGCTCTTATCTGTAGTAAGCTTTGGTTGATTCATCAACATATAAGAACTCGGAATGCTCACATGACTAAGTAAGCCTAACTTTTACCTACCCTTACCATGACATTTTTCTTCACATAGAATCTTACAAATTTCTCCCAAGGTAGTTTGTAGAAAATGACACATGAAGCTTAAAACAAATTCTCAAATTTCTATCCATAATGAATAACAAGATTACATGTGCATTTATAGGTTTTGTTTACTATAACTTGAAGATTAGGGAGCGTTGACTCTTTGACCACTAGACTATTCTAGACTTGACTACAACCACATATGATGATCCAATAATAACATGAAGTGTTTAAAAGGCTCTAGGTGAACCAAGGCGATAAGGTCTCTTATAGCCTAAACGCGAAACGCAAGGCGAGGCGCGTGCCTTACCAAAGCGAGATGCAAGTAGTAGAAAAAAAGCAAAATTATAAAATAGGTAAACTTTTCAACATAACAAATACATATAGAATTCTAGAAATCATAAAGCAAGCTTTACAAGCATAACAAAGAGATAACCCAACAAAGTAGCAGGAGAAGGAAAGAAGAGAAGAAAAATAAGGAAAGAAAAAACAGAGGTAGACTTCCATCGCAGAAGAGAAGAAGAAAAAAAGAAAAGAAGTGAAGAAAAATAAAGGAAGAAAAAACACAAGCAAAGAGATTACCCAACCAAGAGAACCGATCAAAGAAGAGAAAGAGAACCACCGAAGAAGAAGCCGAAGTCGTGTCGTCTTCTCACTTTTCGAGTGCTTTTTTTAATCTTCTCCACCTAAGGCTTTTTTTAATCACTTTCTGCTCTCTTTTGATCACGTTTGGTCATTTTATATTGAAGAATTTTGATTTCCTGTGGGTAGGTGCACAAAAAAAAGAAGAAGCACCTAATCAACAGTTGGATTAGAAATATAGGTAAAGCCCATGAAGCCTGCGCCTTGGAAAAAAGCCCTCGCCTCAACACCTAATCTGCGCCTTACGTATTGCGCCCCGCCTCGACCTGTTTGAAGCGCAAGCCTACGCCTCGTTGCGTTTCGCGCTTAGGCGCAAGCCTCTATAACACTGAACATGACCTTTTGGTGGCCCTACCTACAACCCATTCCAACAATTTATAAAACTACCAAATTGAATTTGATACCTAAAATCTAATAAATAGCTATAAATTCTGTCCAGTAGTATTCTAATATTTAAAATACATAAAACTAGACCCAAATTGATCCTAAACATAATTATATTACTTACTAGGCGTGCTACATTTAAAATTCCAAAATTTTCCTTTTTTCTTGTTTTCATGCTCTTCATCATTTAATCTTTTATCCTTCATGGTTTTCATCAACTTTCTTCTAGATTGATCAAGATTTTCAAAGGAAAAACCATCAAACCAGACTTTGTTGTTTATTGAAGGAATATATGATCCTGATAAGAGATAGATATGAGTTTTGGGATTCATACTAGTGCTTGAACTCTTTGGAAGAGGCACCTCTAAAATGCATATGTGGTATACTTGTATGTAAATAACATATTGCATTAACTCAATTGTAGTCCCTATCTTTCATTTTCTTTATCAGATTTCCGAAAGAACTACCATCAAAGGTTGAATTGACTTGACTTGGTTATCTAAAGAAGGAAGATAATGACCTCAATAAGAGGTAGTCTAGATGGACCAAGGTTTTTTTTCCCCTCCTGAATACTAGTGTCTTCCAATTGGAAGAGACAACTCTAAAACACCTTGAAGAAAAACCTAATTTCCAATCGTGGATAGGATTTACTTAATTTTGGAAAATATTCTAAATTGGGAGGACTAGTAGCCCACCAAAACCCAAAAAGATACAAGTGACAAAGGACAAATTAAAAATCACATATAGCTCCCCAGTCACTACAAATAAAAAACAAGTGAAGCTCCTTAAAAGGAGGCGAGACTGGCACCCAAAATGAAGAAAGGTAACAAACCAAGTCCCATAAACCTCCCAAATCATAAAACTTATCATTGACGGTCTTTGCAACCAAATCATCCAAAAGACCACATAAGGAGCACAATTCCATAGAGCCTAACCCCCTAAAATCAATCTGAAGCATTTGAACACAAGAGTGGACCACCCAATCCATGCCCACAATAGAAAACAATTGATGCCATAACAACAAAGCCATTGGACAATGCAGCAAAAGATGATCAATAGTTTCCTCATCCCTCCTACAAATGATACACCATTGCAGCAGCAATAGCAAGATACAATTGGATGTCTGTTTATGGATCAAATCATTGGTATTGAGCTTCTTAAAACCATGTGAACACTTTAACTTTGAGAAGCACAATGCTTTCCAAATCATTTTGTGAGGATAATAAGTTTATACAGAAAGATTTGCAAGAAAACACTCCTAAAGAATGAACAGTCTAAATCCTTCAATCCCTCACACTTCCTCTCTAAGAAACTACATCAAGAATGAATAATAAAGATGCTAAATCAATAGCCTTGCGATCATTTAGATTCCTAAAGAAATTGAAACTCTATGAAATTAGAACAACAAATGAAGAATCTATGGATGTAATTTCAAGTCGTGTCCGTATCATTTCAAATATCCATGCGGGTGCCACATTTCATTATATTTCATCCATATCCCAATTCCATTCATTAAACATCCCTTTGGTGTCATTAACTTAACAGATGTCTTTTCTAGTTTCTCTTTTGTTGGAAGTTAATAATCCATAAATTGCAATACAAAAAAAAAAAAAGGGGGGGGGTAGCGGGGGTAGGGGAGCGAGGGTTCTATGAAGGGTTTAAGGTCGGGAGTGGGGGTAGGGCGATGACTGGAG